ATTATATATATATATATATATAAATATGTATACTTTTTTTCGCGCGTTTTGTTCAGTGACGGTGGGCTTTTGTAATATGATTTACGATGATTTCAATTCGTAATATTAATAAATAATACACACAATTACATATATTGTGATGATCGTTTACATAAGCAGCTCTATAATAGGTCCCTTTTTCAAATGTAAGCCTTCTGATCGCATTTCATAGGAATGTTTATCATATATATAACTCAACAGGATCAGAGGATTATATCTGAAAACGCACATTCTAACTGTACAGATTACAGGATTGATAGAACTGGTTTGTATCTTTTTATACTCATTAACACGCCTGCGATTAGAATAATATACACTAGATATTAGTGCATTAATTGCCATTATCTTTTTACATTTGTTCTGAAATCTTTCAAAAATGTCATTAAAACAACAAATCGTACAAACAACAAATCAATGAGAAATAAAAAAATTTCAAAAGTTTTGTTAAAAGTTAAATATTTTTATTTCGAACGTTAACATAGTTAGAAGTTACTGCAACGTGAGTTACTTTTATTTCTAACTGTGTCGGGAAGATATCACAAATATTATAAATTTTTAATTTAGGTATCGATTATTCTGTTTTACCGTAGAATAGCAAAAGTGGCGCTATATTGACGTCAATTAATTTGATTAAGGTAAATGTTTCTCATCGAATACAATTAAGGTAGAATTGAGGACGAAACAATCGTCAATTCTAAATAATATCATGTAAAGAAAAAAAATACGCCGCCACTGAACAACAATAAAACAGTACACCTTTTCCGCAATGCGTGTGTGGGATTTTTATCGATACTTTTCACACAGAATTAAACACGCTTCATCCATACACAATACCATAACATAATATCGATAACATTATAATATCGCGCTAGTAACTCGCCCGCGAGCATTAACTATATTTTTGTTCTTCTCCCCTTAAATCTTCATATATATCAGGTAAATATATAATCTATTTATTTATTTATTTATATAATTACTTTTGTTCATTATGTATACATTCATGTACGTATATATGTACGTGTACATGTATATATGCATACATATACACATAGATATATACATATAGGATATTCCATTTTTATGAATCGAATTAGGTAGCTTATATCGATATATAAATACAGGTATATGCATCACATATATCTGTACATATATACACGTTCTCATGTGCATTCAAATTACGTCGTACGCATAAATTTCATATAATTAACATTCCCTTAACGATGAGACCGATGCAACAATCGCGATTGATTTCTTTTTTTCTCTTGGCAATCGGTGACTTAATTTAACGCCATATGGGAAAAGGACGGCGAGAGACGGAGAACGGATCTTGTATAAACACGAAATTTGTTCACGTGATTCAATTATTCAAATTCACGAAGGATACACATCGAGAGGTTTCGTATTAGAATTCGAAATCGCTGCGATACACAAAGCTGTTCATTTAAAAATAATATTAATCACAATCTGAAATGTCAACAAAGCTGCACTATTTAACATCTTTATAACCGCGTTTTATTCAAATGTGTGTATTGAACTCACGCCACTTCTACGAACATCTCATATGTCACTATGGTAATAACATTTTATAAGCTCGTTAATTATTTTAATAATTATCGAACACTCAAAGGATTTCAAATTAGAAATGACATTATCATAACGGGTTACTTTTTAATAGCAACTGGTATCAATGTTATAGCATAGAGCAATTTTATTCAATAACTAATAATTTAATATAATCATTAATAATTATTAAATGTAAAAATATATTTGATGACTGAGTAATAAATCAAATTTATTTTCTGTCAACAAGCCGTCTTATTTTTACATCAGGCGAATAGGATGGAGGAAAGCATGGAAGAAGTGAGAACTTTCTTCAGAAGTTCTAAAACAGTTGTAAAACTTCTAAAGTTTCCTTTCACATTATTTCTCTGTAAATGCTAATATTAGCTCTAAAAGGAGCATTTAAAAAATTGGTAACTTTGGTTAAAACAAGATTGTCGTATACACAATAAATTGATAATTTTGGTATAAAGGTATAATAATAAATAAAGTTAAGCGTGTTAAACACCGATTTCTTCTCTTCAACGTTAACATGGAAATGGAGACCACAATGAATTATGCGAACGAGTTTAAATGTATTTTATCCCAATAATTGACGACGATAATTGGAATATGAGAAAAATTCTAGAGGGACTAAAGATTCAATTGACGAGTAAAACGATGCCGTATAATACGGCTCGATTGGCCCATTGCATCCCTTTTCATGTTAATATATTTCTGTTTTATTCATTTATACTATGTATATCTAATCATTAGATACTGGAGAAGCGATGATCAACATTTCAACGTTCTTATAAATTGAAATTTATTCCACATTTTATATTTTATGAAACTTAGATTTTAATTTAAATAGATTTTTTGGTTATCTCTGAAAATCTCTCTGAAGTTGATTATGTTTTAATTAAGTCTTTGAGAAATAGTCGAAAAAGTTGAATATGTAAGATTGTAGATAAACGTGTGACTAATTTCGGAAAAAAGTACCCGAAAATAGATTTGATCCGAGAATATATTGACAAATTTAAAATTTAAAAGAAATTTATAAAAAGAAATTTACATTAATGTTTTTATTTTATAAGAAAAGTCTTTGTATTTCAGAAAATATCAAAAACTGAGATAATTTTTTATATTTGCATCGCAAGTTTAACATAACAATAAATTTATTAAATAATTATATTCTGTAAGGAGGACATTCTTTTAAAAGATTAAAAATCGAGAAATTCACATTTTTCGCTATTGTATAATTAGAAAAAGTTTTAAAAATAATTAGCCTTTGAGTACCTTTTTCCAATATCGATCTTGAACACTAATAATGATCAGGCACGAAGAGCAAGCGATATAAATGAAAAAAGTACATTTGATTTTTTTCTAGGATATGAAATAGAAATATTTTAGAAACAATTTGGTCATGATACAACTCTTTTACAATAAATACTTGATTATTCCATTCAAGTTTAATCTATACAACTCGGAAAAAATTGCAGTTTAATCATATTTTCATTAACATTATCAGTTTGCAATGTTTTAATATTCTTACATTTAAAAAATTTTTTAATTCATTTTTTATTTTCAAAAGTAATAAAACTAATATTTTCATATTATTCATATTATCCTATTTTTATTTATTAAGATATTTCGCGTTATCGATATTAATGTTTCATGGATTCGGATAAAATCTAATTGAGATTGGAATTTTTAGATAAAAATTTTATTTCTACGATTACTTAGTAATCTTATTTCGAGAATCAAATGCCTTTTTCCATCCACATCACAGATTGAAAATTTGATTATTTATTATTATAATATGCGTCATACAGTGACGCTAGTTTCTCATAATCGCATTTTTCTACTTGTTTCAATTTTTCCTTTTCTTAAATGTCTTTTATTATTTTTTCGATAATAGTTTTCTTATATTGTAGGAAAATGTGAATACACTAATTCAATTCTGAAACTCGTGAAAGAGTTACAAAAAATTTACTGAGTCTGATATAATAATCTGGTTTTCGATTTTGTGTCCCGACAGCAGAATTTGCTGCATAAATAGATTGCGCGATTAACGCAATCTTTATTCTTTCTCTTATACATAGAATTTAAAATTAAAATTAATTATTTAACGGTTTTACACATAGCTTTTCCGCTTGTGTCGTCATGCATTCAGTTCCATTTAATTTAATCGACAAATTCTAATTTTATGGCATGGAAAAAAAGAGAGAGAGGAACAAATCATTTGTAATCAAATAATCGGTCAAATAATTGGCAGAATCGTTCGCTCGTTCATTCACTCGTTCGCTCGCTCGCTCATTCGCTCGTACATCGAGTTTCTTCTCGCGAAGACCGTCACAGAAAATAAAACGCGCCTGAAACCAACTCTTTTTCCTTAAAAAACATATATAATAACGTAAGACTAGAATTCAACAATACATACGGTTTTTAATCGCTGTACAAACGCAGTTAAAGTATAAAAGTATAAACAGCTAACACATGAAAAGCAAAACGCCGTATAGAAATAATTCGCACGTAATGCATATGTTAATCAAAATTATGTGTCTGAATTTTTAAACGGAATAATCACAGGAGAGGACAGTTCGTCGAGAAGAGAACCATTAAGAATTGGATGCTTTTCTTTTTCGAAGTTTACTCTTTCTCGCAGTGTTTGACGTTCGAAGCGACACTGAGATCACAATATTTCCAATCCCTTTCAAGAAATTTCAGACCAATCTGCTCTTTCCTTAATTAATACATCAGCAAGAACAAATCATTTTTTCAAGCTTGATTGCACTTTAATGACATAGCTGGATAAAAGATAGCTTACGATACAATTCTCGAAAAGAACGATTTTGCTGAAGTCTTTAAAGATTTAGCTGCATACAGATCTGAAAATAATTTTGTTGGATTATCAAAACACTTAAGTATATATTGTACAATGAGTAATGCTGCAAAAAGTTTTGACATTTTAGCAACTAACTTAAGCGTTTTAATTGTGATTATCCTATATAATTATAATATTTGATGGTCTAACAAAATTATTTTCAAATTTATATCTAACTAAATTCGAGGAAGTTTTACGATTTACGGGTTATTTCCGTGTCTTGAGACATCATTAAATGCCAACATTGCAGTTAACTTCATCAGAACAAGAAGCAATCTGATACTCTGGAAGTCATAATTTTTCTAAGGGATTTTCTTTCTGTACAGAATCGACGACGAGATTTTTCACCGCGTGAATCTCGACAAACAGTGCAATAATTATTCCGACAAATCTATCTCATTTTCTCTTTTCACCGTGGCAACTGCTAATTTTAGGTGAGGTGAAGTCTTTGCGAGAATGAAAATAATCTAAGAATATTGTAGAATTCGAGAATATATGTGTATATATGTCTCTTTTTTCAGAATCGGAATAATCACGTGCTTTCGGAAAACAGTAATATCTCCATTTTGAGAATATTGTCCGAGAATTTTGAGAATATTTTGCCTAAAAACACGCGATTATTTTCAAAATATTCTAGAAACAGTCAGAGAATACTCTCTTATCCTTACATCCTTGATTACACAGTTCGTGAAACTTAATCGTACATCGATACGACAGAGCCACGTTTACATATCTACTTGTTTGTCTTCTTCCTCTTCTTTTCCGTTTAATTATCCACTTGCTCGTGTATATTATAGATTTATATATATTTTTTTTTATGCACGATGGATATATGTATATCCTTATGTCTTTGTATACATCTGCACTTTACCTATATTTATATACGTATAGTAACGAACAACATTAATGATTACGCATTAGGCTACTCTTTAATTGAACAATAAATAAAATAGTTTATGTATATAGCATACATTCTCCTTGTATTCCACAGGCCGTAGATGCCCTTCACAATAAATGTATCTCAATTTTTGCAATCGTCATGACGTAAAACACTCAAAGTCGATAACACGAAATAATGGTCTGAGGATTCCTCTGCAAGATTAATTTAATTCAATTGCGGTAATCATATATTTTATATATATGTATATATATATAAAATATTTTCTCGGTAAATGGCATGCTCGAACAAATACGTTCATTCAAATTGACCGTTTTCAATATCATACATAGAGAAACATTTATTTAATTCGTATTATTTAATTCGTATATTACAAATGCATCGTGCGCTGCAATATTGTGAATTACTCACAAGAATTTATGGTACATTTTGTTTCGCAAAATAGAATATAGTTGACGCACTCGATTAGAGATTTTTCCACCGCAATTATTAATCTATTAACAATTAATATCGCAATGAGAGAGAAATACGCGAGATAATTTCTGCATTAGAAAATTTAAACGTCTTAAAAAATCTTTTAGAAATCATTTTATTCGTTTCTTTTTTTTTTACGAATATGAAGACAAGATTCCCGGAAATTTCTTGGTCTAAATTAGCCTCTTTAGACATTCAACTTTCTCGCTCGATTCTTAGCTATTGCAGCAGAACAAGTTCTCAGGCCACCAGCCGCGGAGGCTGAGTTTCTTGTCAGAGGAATCCTCGACCACCAGAACGTATCACTTGATCTCCTCTCTGCTGGGCGACCTCGGTGGATGCGGTGACAGCGGCGTTTCGTTCGGATGTCTTTTCGGCCGGAAGCTAGCTGTCAATGAGGATATCCAACCGCTTTGTGAGCCGTGATCATGCAAGGAATCGCTGTTGCTATTGCTCCGAGTGCTATCGATGCTCATGCCAGATTTAAATCGTGAAAATAGTCCAGGTGACGATTTTTTCGTCGTCGCGGGCGAGCAGAATGCGGAATGCTTCTTTCGTGACTTAGACACCTCTTTACAGAGCATCGAGTCTAAACTACCGGTGTGAGGACGCTCCTCCGCCTTTTTAGGGTCTAACACGCCTAATACAGCAGCTTCCGCTGCCTGTTTCGCCATTTTGGAGATATCTTCCATGCTGGCCGAACTTCTTCTGATTTCTACCTTACCGAGATCTTCTTCGATATCGCAGCAGGTATCGTCTGGATTGACTATAATTTCAGGTTGTTGATTCTTCGAACGAACGTCTATTTCACGAAACTCGATGTCCAGAATTTGTCGAGTCTTCGTTTCCTTCAAGCTTTGCGACTTGCCCTCGGGGTTTGACAAGTTTCTGCGGTGCTTGGAAAACGAACGGGAGCCAGAACCGGCTGCCGGTAAAGCTTCCAAAGAAGTGGACGATCTCTTCTCCTTGGCGAATACCGTTCGCCAGCTCTTATTCTTACTATCCGTGGACTTTCGAACCTTTGGCAGAGTCATCGCTCGTTTGTCCACTGGCGATAACTCCACCACGGTTGCGATGGCTGCCTTGTTGCCGTGTTTTACTGACGACTTAATCAAGTTGCAGCGTTTGCAAATAAACAACGAGTTGTTATACCTTGACGAGGTAGTCGTGGCCGAACCACTACTAATCGAGTTACTCTTATTGAGCATCTTCGAAGTATGCTTCGGTTTTGGACTAGGCGAGTCCTTTGAGTCAAAGCTCATGCTAAGACGGTCCGTAAAGTTCCTCAGTCGTGAGAATAGAGACTTGTTATTCGGCCCAGTTCGGTCGTCGCAGCAACATCGCAAACCGATCGATTCTCGACTACTGTGAGCATCCCTGCGGCTTGATCTGTTTTCTTGATCGTTCTCTATGACATTGCTGGTTTTCCTTACATTGTTCTTCGGCTGCGAGCGGGCCTCCACCGCGACGACATTACCGTTTCCCTCAGACGTCTTGTTTTCAATCTTGGCGTCTGAAATAATCGTGTCCTTCTCCATTTCCTCAAGGATCCGCGTGCCCTCGGCAGACCTTGCGCTCACCGGCGAGCTCAGGTCACTGCCAAGATTTTCGCCCTTGCAACGTCTCCTTTCGTAATCATGATCACGAACAGCTTTGGCCAAGTCGTGATGGTGATAATCCAACGAAGACTTTTCCCGGCTGCCCTTTCGACTGCCAGGATAGCTCTTCCGACCGGACGTCGGGCCGGTCAGTGTGCCCTCCGTAGAAATTTTGAACTTTAGCGTCTTTTCGCTGATCTCTACCTCCGTGGCAGTCTCCGGATCCGAGCTCTCAACATTTTCCGCCTCCTCCATCGTCAAATTTTCTGTGATATCATCATCGGTGGAACGCGAACGTGAATGAATTGTCGTGGCGGATCTTTTTGAGCGCATGCTATGCGACGATGTAGACTTGATAACGGTGGATGAACTACCGGTAGCGGTTGTCATGTTGGATAGCGCCGATTCCCCGACGTCGACGACGCTCCTCCGATGATGGCGCTCATCTTTGGCTGCTTCATTCAGTCTTCGATAATACTCCAGAGCTTCCCTGACCGGTTGAACTATGAGATCCTGAAAAATAGAATTTCATACAGATTTAGTTGTGTGTGTAGGTAACTACATACTGCTAATTATTTCCAGACACAGATAGATAGGTTCATGTATGAAAAGATGAAATACCTGCAACTCGGGTAGAAGTTCGCCGAGAGCTTCAAAGAGAGGGAGGAGAACTAGGCCGATGAAGCTAACTTGGGAGGACGGCTTGGTCACTTTATCGCGATCCATGAAGGGCGTGACCGGAAGACCCTCGAGTTTCTCTGCGTCGCTCTGCTTGAAGAACTCTTGAAGCAATCTATCCAGCCACGGTTCCGCGACTTCCATCGGTCGTGCCTCGTTGCTTATATCAGCCACCTTGATCAAGATCATGGACAACTGCGAAACATAAATAAGAAATGAAGTTGATCCGATTAAATATTTCATTAAATACTTCAGTAATCGATGGATTACCAAATTTATGTGCGCCTTGCTGGTGTAATCGAATTCAGGAGTAATGTCGGTGAACTGGCCGAGGATCTCGTTGTGCCGGGCCATGTCGGTCGCTAGGATACATCTTATGATGCCCTCACGAACTATTCTATACGTAGGGTTGTCCAAGGATGCGAGGATGTTGCACTCGGGCGCCTCCAAGACCCGGAATGCCACAGAGCAATGATGATTCTCCAGGGGCGAGATATCGTTGTAGCGTAACGCCAGCTCGGTCCGCGCGTTTATTTGGTAGATATTATTGTAGCCCGGATGGTCGAGATCATGGCAAATACAGGAGACAATCAGTATGAGGACCTCGAGGTCACCGATTTTCGACGGAAGATCCACCGCCCACGCTATCGCGTACATCTAGACACAATCAATTAGCACTGAGCCGATAACTCAATTCGATCTGCAGCTATAGATTAAAGCGTACTATTATACATGTATTTTAATCGCTTAAGAAATAATTTAATTATATTATACCGTAGAATAATGCAGTTAACGCCAATTAATAGGTGTAATCAAACAATTAGTGTAACAAACAATTAGCCATCGTAATTACTGCAATATTATTCATCACACTTATTATTATTATACATCTTCTCGTGTATCAACATGTAATTACAGTCACGCTGCCGCATAACTGTTAATTGTCTTCGCGGAAAGTTGTGCGAATCAGAGCAGAATATGAAGATGAAGAAACACTCACCATTTGCGCCACGCAGAAGCAGTGCCTGAAATTGTGAAATGGCACCTCGTTGTAATTATTGTAGACTTCGTACAGGAAGTTCCTCAGAATCGGCAAGGGAATGTTGAATTTTTGAGGTAGGTCGAGCTCGACAAACATCGTCTGCAGCATCAACAGCAACTCCTCGTCTTCCCACTGTCGCGCGTCGAAGGCCGGCGAGCGTAACCACTCGCGAACGTTCGACGAAACCGTCACGTCGCTGAAAATAGTACAGATAATTATATTTTTACCCTTTTCAATCAAGACATGATGACATTTTCATATTCGTGATACGTGTGTTATTAACATTACTAACTAATAATTAATTTAGACACGTTTAATTAACAGTTGTTCCGTTAAATATGATAATCTTAAGAAAACAGAAAGTTGTACCAATTAACCACTATTGATGATTAAATTAACACCTGTTCATCCTCTTCATTAGCATCATAGCAATTGTTTATTTCGTTATTAAATTTATTGCCTCGTTAAATGATCTTTTTGTTTCATTTTATTTTGTTGGAGGAAACAAATGAAATTAATCAATTTGAGGGAATATGGAACAAATTTGTTAAATATACAGAGAACAGTGTTAAAATTGATTTACCAAGAGGGCAAGTACCGTAGCGTCAATTGCTGCGCGAAACTTCGCACCCGCGTCAGCAATCGGTCACCTAGGCACGCAGGATTAATCGGATTAATTGGTGGAGTACTTTGACCAACAGCTCTTCGCTACTTTGACAGATAATGGGTTATCTGCTCGTGCTGCTAAATCAACACGGGCTTAACATACGTCGAGACAAACGGGATTGTATCGGAGACATCGGCATCGATTCGCCAACATCACGTGGAGTACTGTCACTTATATCACTTCTCCTGAGAATAGCTACGTGCCTAAGAGATGCAACGTCCATCATAATTTACGATAATACAATCGTAAACAATTGTAAACTCATTAAATCCATTGAAATCAATGAAACCACATGTAATACTGGGTCACAACGTACGATGAAATTGTATAATTACGTCGTATACGTGTCTTTGAATATAAAATGATATTTACATAATTACACATTGTACCATCTCGCTCAACGAACGATGTTTAGTTTGCAATATCTATTTTTCAAAAAAGGGGAAGTTAAAAGGACAAATCGAAAATTGATTATAATTACATCTTTTCATTTTAAATTCTACTTTATCACGCTTATTCTTTATTCCATTTGGATTGATCGTAGTTAGCGAATGGTATAAGCTTATCTCATTTACATTTATAATATTTATATAATATTCATAATTAATAAATTGTAGGAGCTTTTCGTTGTTTCTTATATCTTTTCTAATCATCTCTCTCATTTTCCTTACTCATCCGGATTTTTACAAGCTTCCTATTTCACAGAGAGACGCCTTTAACTCACCGTACATACAAAACTGCGCAAATTAGCAGAATAATGATAACATGTAACGTCGTAATTAGTGCTTGAATATCTTCTTTTACTATATTGATCTTTGATAGATAGCTAAAGGGCAGTATCTAAAGAAAAAAAAGAAATTCTCATTTCAATGAAGTAGATAATAAAAAGTCAACACGGAAAATCGTTACTTCGCAATAAAGCCTTTGACAAAAGGTGGATGGCGTAAACAGAAGATGCTCCAGAAGGATCTTACGTTCTTTCAGCCGCAAAAGACAACTGGAGACGGTCTTGTACGAAGGACCTTTAGCGTGTACAGACAGCTTATTTGCTGACGACCGCTAATTGGCAATCCGTATTTAGCTATTAGGTGGGATCATGGTACGCGTGATAATGCACGCTTTGTGATGCGCGCTCCCCATTATACACGCCCTAAATCGTGACGGGCCTTATTACCTAGATAACAGTAACTTAATAGCATTTCGCGGTAACACGACAGAGGCCAACTAACCACCGTCGGAGGACCCGTCACGGTGAACGGAAGCGAGCAGAATCCGCGGGTGAATGGAGATGCTATGTGTGCATAGCATCTCCGACGTTTTCTCAAGTAGGTCGCACTCTCTTTTATTTACGCCTTCCAACGTGTCGGCATTCTCGCATTTCTTCCTTGGCACGTGCACTTCTTCGACAGTTCTTTTACATTACCGCTTTAATTTGTTATCACTGCAAAATCAGAGTTCAAATTTTACTGTGATATTTATTCAAGTATACGTTATTATTGCATTTATTATTATATCGTACATACAAGAATTCTTCGTCGCATAACTTCTTGCACAATCGTTATCGATGAAACGTAATATTGTTTAGTATTAATTTTGCTTGTCTAAAATACGTACATAAAATAAAAGTGGATACAGTTGTTTGAGATTAAAGTATTATAGAGTAAATATCGATAACTGTGACACGCTTAACCAGAGAGAGATACGATTTCTCAATGGTACATGGGAAACAGATTTCCCATACATTTTCGAGGAAGATAATCTCGACGATCGAGGTCATTACTCGCGTTAACTGGTTTTTCCGAATATCCATAAGAATAGAAACTTGTGACATAGAAAGGTAAAACGGGGACAAGCCGGAAGAGGGGACACGATTATGCCACACGGCGTTTACAGCCTCGCCTCGATGAGGAAGCTACGCCCGGAAGCGCTCCAACTTCTCCTCGCTGCAACCATAATCGTTTGCGAAGAATCGCTGGTAAATTGCAGTAAACGGCAGCCCGGCTTAATGCACCGTACCGAATCGCCGCGAGTATAAAACGCTTCGAAGGAACGGAAAACGCGTCTTGCCGCGACGCTACCTAAATGGCAGGCACGATTTGCATGTCGATGCGACGTGCGTGACTGCCACCGGAGAACAGAAACAATCGGAGAAAATATTTCTAAACACATTATTCACTTTATCACTGATCTTTTCCACATAAAGAAAGGATATCCCTGATAATTTTTTATAGATCAAGTATTATAGTCACGTGAATAAATATTTACATTGTACGCCGATTAAATTGAATCATTCTTAATAATATAATTAATGTGTGACAATCATGTGGCGCAGAGAGTTGCGTGTCTACTCTCTGTGCTAAAATGTCGGGTTTAAATTTGGCGAGATACATTGAATTTTTATTTCATCTCCCGGAAGGCAATATGGCCAACTATAAGAGATTCCCTTAACTGTTCGAAATCAGTAAGTCCCATGTATCTGCTTATAAATAAACTCATTCTCTACAGATAGATGCAGCTTTACTATTTTCTGGGAGGATTCGACAGTGACGCTATGAATCCGCTTCCATAGAAATTAAAAATATATAATATCTTTTTAAGGAAAAACAGGGAGATCAAGATCCAACTTATCAATATCTTTTTCTTGGCCAGGCTTGATTTTGATTGTCATGCCAATGGTGACAATGTATAATACAATTAATGGACTGAAATGTGAAATTTATGTCACGCTGAACATTACTTTTTATCATTTTATACAGTGTCTCTTGATATTATGACAAAAACATTATAGAGAATTAAATAAAATCAATTTTTAAAAATATATATACACGTATTCTTTTGATACCAATAACATATATGAAAACATGTCATAGAAAATGTTTCGGAAATCGTGGGAAAGCAGGTAATTCCTCATGTAAATATAAGTTGAAAATATGAAATAAAATTTGAGGCTTTCGGGTAACATTTTCAATAATTTATAAAGTAATAAAATTCATCATGCGTGAATATCCTATTTTATTCTCGATCTCCCGTGTATTCTCGATTACTCGACACGATAAACACAAACATGAATAGAGATAGTAGCTACAGCGAGATCTATTAAGAGTCAAAACACACATACATAGCAAATATTTAGTCTATTTTCCTGAAAATGAAATTTCATATAAGGAATTATTCTACATTTTCCACTTATTTTATATATATATGCGCCTCATTAATAATTTATATGACGCAGTATTTCTTATTAATTACAAAATAAAATTTACTATAATGTGAAAATGGGACAATATTAATGAAATCATAAAGCACTTGTGCCACTTGAGATAAGTATTCAGAGAATTAATACGACCAAGCTCTCTTGCTTCGAATCCATCTGCATAAGAATGCACTTCGAGGCAAAATAGGATTGGGCATCTTAAGCCGCCAAAATAACTTCGTGGCTTCGCGAGAGAGAATCTCGGAAAACTTTGGGAAGTCTTCGGAAGTCTATGGTCCCTGCTCATAACCCATTTGTTTGATTTTTCTCCGAGAACTTTCTCCTCGACCGATGATAAATTACGGAAGTTTAATTAGTGGCAAAAGTTTAACGCGCCCACGTCAACTGCGATCATGCTGTTATACTTTGTGCGACGTGAAATATCCCTGGAAGTTGCCGGACGGAAATTTACAACGCGCGGTACCATTTGCGCGACGCGAAATCATAATGGCGTTTTACTGCATTACCTGCCACGCTCAATTCGCGCTCGTTGCCGAATTATATCCGTATTATATTCATATTGATATTGATTCCCCCGAACATCCTAGTCAGTCGATAATCAGATTACGTGCCGCGTATGCAAATGAATCTCAGTCGTATAACGGGCTCTTCGGGCGGGATGTTTTAAAGCCCTCCGAGTCAAATGAACCGCAAGTTTATCGCTTCACTTGCGTCACGCTATACGCCCTATGAATATAAAGGAGGAAATTACGTTGCAAATACGACAAAAGACATATATATGCGATGCATATGCAAAAGATACTCCGTCGCGTAATTGTTTTGCCGAACATTCTTTTTTTTTTTTTTTTTTTTTTTAATTTCTCATGTCGCATATTAAACGCGTATTCAATCTCGCTGATTTAATAGTCGCGCGCAGAACAAGTGCAGAAATTACTCTATTCTAGTATCGGAGGATAGAAAATTTTCTCGCAATTGTAAGGCAAGCGTGAATGAAAAAATTATACATAAATTCATGATACACACCGTGTCGCCTTCCTGAAAAACGTGGCGAGAATTGATCGAATTCTAAGACAATCAAGCCTTGAAGCTGTCGATAGGAACGAACAGATAAAGACTTTGCACGAAGTCTATTACAGAGGATTGATGTTGTTGAATATCGATCTTCTTAAATATCATATTCTTCCACTCTTTACGCTGGAAGACAATTACAGCGGAGATGCGCTGAAAGTATTAAAAAAGCCTCGTGATTTTCTCGATCGAGCTGCGTGTCACGCATCTAAACGTACGACGTGCTTCATAAAAGTGCTCCAACGTA